ATATATTACAGTATATTAGAATACATTAACCCAAAACCTCCAGCGTTTTATTTAAAGTCCAACATGTGACTTTTATATCTAAACTATATATCTCATCAGTCTCTTTTATCCTCACCAGCATCAAGTGGCAAAGGAGTACCATGACAGGGGCCCCCGCATCAACCTGACCTTCAGGACCATCCACCCAGAGCCGGAGGGCCACAGGCCAGGCACCAAGATACGATTCACAGCCAAACAACTGTAAATTCCCCTCATGGTCGGTACTAAAAGCTGCTCAGGGCTTCAGTGTCTCAAACACACATAAAACCATCTGCTGTGGTGTGAAGAAGATAAAACAATCTGTAATACAAGGTGAGAAAGGATGAAATACATGCTAAAGATTGCCTTGATGAGCTAATGGGGCGTACTTTGATTGGACTATTTGAACGGGGCCAAACTTTGATTTGAATAGTTATTAATGAGAGAAACAAATGATAACATCCAGCATTATTAGTTGTGTGTGATTAGAAAGGGTTGTAAAAGATGGTAAAATAACATCTGGGTAAACAGAATGTGCAAATTTTCTTTCTTTTCCATGTAGTGGACATCGTGAGGAGCTTTTTAAAGGAGCATAGCTGCTGTTAGCAGGGCAGTGAGTGACGGTGGCTAAACTGGAATTATTTTATTTTGAATAAGATTATTATTATTAGTTTTTTCACTGTAAAATAAAATCTAAACACTACATATCTTTAGAAAATTACTTCAGCACTCAGCGTAATTTACAAATGTATTTTGTTGCAATAAGAGCTGAGAATGTTTTTGTTTTGTGTACTTAAAAAATAAGTTTTTCAGGTCTAAAAGTTTTTTATGAGCCTGAAGGTGTTTTTCAAAGGAGCAGCAGTTCTATGACTTAAATCAGTAGGTTTCTGTAATTTAAAAAATAACTTTTTGTGAAACTCTTCAGTTCAAAGGGTTTATTTGTATTTTTTTGATTGCTCTTTTTTTTTCTTAAGCATGTTTTAAAATTCATTAAACTCAGTTCAGGTAACACCAGCTTTGTTGTTCTCTTTAGTCCAATTTCGTAGGAGTTTCATATCAACAAATTCTGTTATTTCTGCTAGAAAGAGTTGTCAAAAATCAGCCAGCATTAATCTAGATGCTTGTTGATAATTATAAAAACTGGCTGAAGTGCAATGCTCTCAGGGATTGTTTAATGAGTTTTAGAGGAGGTTTATGTATGTATTTAAGCCTACAGACTGTATATTTCTGACCCTGGGTGAATTAGATAAAATCCACAATAAGCTCAAACGTGTGCACACAATTACTGGGAAAAAATTGGTTCGAACAAATAATTAAAAGCCAAAATTTGTCATGATTTGACCATAACAGTACACATCCCAGTCCACTTTTGCTTTTCTGTATCTGTACAGGTGCATATTGAACCTAAAGCACTGTACTGAGCAGGTTGTACCCCTAATTTAATTTAAACATGTTATAAATTCACATAAGTAATATAAAACATCAGTTTTCACATACTATTCTTAAAAAAGGCCTAATTTTGATTTGTTGGACAAACCGCTCTAAATGTACCAGGAGGTAATATGAAGTTTATTATGTCAATAAGCTGAAATCTGATTTCACTGCTTGCACAATATAAAAAACAGAAAACAAATACACTCCCAAAGACGTCTGCGAGTCAAGTAATCATATGTTTGTTGTAAAAACAAGGAAAAGACAAAATGTTAAAAAGCTTTTAATCAATACCATGTGGTGCTGTGGGGTTGTTGTTTTTTTTCATCTGGAACTGTGGTTTTAGATACGAAATGTTCACACCAAACCTTCAAGTGTCTCCCAGAAAAAGCTGAAGATGAAGAATTTCATGTTTTAAAATGTCAGCACCTGTGTCAAACTCAAGGGCTGTGGGACAAATGTGGTCCACTGCAGCATTTAATGTGGCCTGTGTGAGCTTCAAAGATGTATTATTGTCTTCAAATAAGTGCATGCTGCTTATTTGCATTGACCATGAACTACATATCCCATAATGCATGTAGGTTATTTTACCCACAAAATGATGGCACTAAGTGGAGGGGCATGGGGTTCAAAAGGAGACGACAAAATTTGTTGTGTAAAATCTCCATTTCACTGCATTTTCACTTGCTATTCATCTGCTGCAAATCAGTTGTACTGGGAAATGGGAATTTCCCACTTACAGGTCACAAATTTAAATTGGAGCACCTCGCTAGTGGAAATTCTATGTCATAAGTGGGATCACTCTGACTACCCAGAGTTCAATCTACTCATCAGTGAGACTATTTTACTTTCAGCAGTACTTTAATAATATTTAATTTACATTTACAGTCAGTCATATGCTTAATGCTTGTCTTTTTTAGGGCAACCATAATGCTCATTGGCCCTCTGTGAAACTGTCCTAACAGACTTTCTTGTTTTTCTGTTGAATTGTACAAAATATCTCATGTTGAAAATGGAAAAAGTTTTGAAAATTTTTATCAAAATTTGATTTTTTTTAATATTAAAACACAACCTTTTTTGCAGGTGTATTTATGTTTTTCATACTCACAGCAAATGAGACTCACTGCCTTCATTTTTATGTTAAATTATCCAAATCACTCATACTTTTCCAAGATATCCTCGCATTTCTTCTTTGATACAGGTTTTTTTAACCACTAAACCCTTTTATGTATTTTATGTATTTTATGTATATGTTAAATGTTATGTACAGTATATGTTATGTATATGTACCCTTTTGTGTATTTTGTTGTGTGTGTGTGTGTGTGTGTGTACACAAAAAATATACATATTTATATACATATACAGCGGGTAAAATAAGTATTGAACACGTCAACATTTTTCTCAGTAAATATATTACTAGAGGTGCTAATGACATGAAATTTTCACCAGATGTCGGTAACAACCCAAGTGATCCATACATACAAAGAAATCAAACCATAAATGTCCAGAAATGAAGTTATTTGTAATAATGTGGACTGGCACAGGGAAAAAGTATTGAGCACATGAAGAAAGGGAGGTGTAAAAAGGCATGGAAAACCAAGACACCAGCTGAACTCTCTCAGTAATTAGAAAGCAAGCCTGCCCCTTGTCAGTGCAAGTTAATATCAGCTGGTTCAGACCCAAATGATGGCCAGGTATCACACAAGAACCATCTGATGATGGGTAAAAGTAAAGAGCTCTCTCAAGACCTTCACAACCTTATTGTTGCAAAGCATAATGATAGCATCGGTTACAGAAGAATGTCTAAACTTCTGAAGGTTCCAGTGAGCACTGTTGGGGCCATAATTCAGAAGTAGAAAGAACATTATTTCACCATAAACCAACCACGACCAGGTGCTCCTCACAAGATTTCTGACAGAGGGGTGAAAAGAATTATCAGAAGAGTTGTCCAAGAGCCAAGGACCACTTGTGGAGAGCTTCAGAAAGACCTGGAATTAGCAGGTACGATTGTTTCAAAGAAAACAACAAGTAATGCACTGAACCACCATGGCCTGTATGCATGCTCACCACGCAAGACTCCACTGCTGAAGAAACAGCATGTTGAAGCTCCTTTAAAGTTTGCTGCACAACATTTAGACAAGCCTGTGAAATACTGGGAGAATATAGTCTGGTCAGATGAGACCAACATTGAACTGTTTGGATGCCAGAATACACATCATGTTTGGAGGTCAAATGGCACTGCACATCAGCCCAAAAACACCATACCAACAGTGAAGTTTGGAGGTGGGAACATCATGGTGTGGGGCTGTTTTTCAGCATATGGTACTGGCAAACTTCAAATAACTGAAGGAAGGATGAATGGGAAAATGTACAGAGACATTCTTGATAAAAATCTGCTTCTATCTACCAGGATGATGAAGATGAAACGTGGCTGGACATTTCAGCAAGACAATGAGCCCAAACACAAAGCCAAGGAAACTCTCAGTTGGTTTCAGAGAAAGAAACTAAAGCTGCTGGAATGGCCCAGCCAATCACCTGACCTGAATCCAACAGAAAATCTATGGAAAGAACTAAAGATCAGAGTTCATAGAAGAGGTCCACGAAACCTTCAAAGTTTGAAGACTGTTTGTGTGGAAGAATGGGCCAAAATCACACCTGAGCAATGCATGCCACTAGTTTCTCCATACAGGAGGCGTCTTGAAGCTGTCATTGACAACAAAGGCTTTTGTACAAAGTATTAGATAAATTTCAGAAAGTGTGTTCAATACTTTTTCCCTGTGCCATTCCACATTATTACGAATAACTTCATTTCTGGACATTTATGGTTTGATTTCTTTGTATGTATGGATCACTTGGGTTGTTACAGACATCTGGTGAAAATTTCATGTCATTAGCACCTCTAGTAATATATTTACTGAGAAAAATGGTGACATGTTCAATACTTATTTTACCTGCTGTACTTTTCCAAGCTATCCTTGCATTTCTTCTTTGATACAGGTTTTTTTAACCACTATACCCTTTTAAGTGTATTTTGTTGTGTGTGTGTGTGTGTGTACACAAAAAATATATATACAGTATTTATATATATACTGTATATATATAGATTAGGGGTGCAACGAAACAGAAAATTCACGATTTGGTTTGGTTCGATACTTTAGTCTCACGGTTCGATATTTTTTGATTCAAAAAAGAGGAATGTCCATGCCTTTCTTAAATTGAAATTTATTGAAATCAATTATGAACATTTGTTTAACCTCAAAAGTACAGTTTTTAAATTAAATGTTGCTGAAACAGCAAGTTTCTCAGTGGACCTGCGCTCGAAAATGCAGCCTAGGTGAAGTAGTCGAACACAGATCCACTGATCCTTTAACATGGAGCATTTTCAGAAATAAAATAATAATAATTTCAAATAATTAAAAAAATCGGTATTGTTCGATACATAGTGTGTATTGAACCTAAAGCACTGTATTGAACGGTTCGATACGGGTACATGTATTGTTGCACCCTTAATATATATATATATCAGTAACAATTGAACTCTAGGTAGGTTGGTTTAGCATGGTACTTTACAGGATTTCAAATTGTAAAAACATAATTTGGAAGTTATTGAATTATTTTCCAACCACAGCTTTTTGATGTGTTCTATTTATGTTTAATAATTCTAATGAAAAGTCAGCACAAAACATTAACACTGAAACGTTTTAGCAAATGCTGACAGAAAAAGAAACAAAAATTAACTGTAAATTTTCAGTAATACAAGCATAACAAACTCAAACTTAACAAGAATTAAATGTTAAGTCGGTTGTATTTTTGCCCCATGTCTCAGAGTGATTCCTGGTGTTACATTATATGTTTGTATATTTAGATCTTAGGTCATCGTCTGCATTACCTCAAGTTACTGGTAGAGATCCATTCATACCACTCACTCTGCAGGTTATTTATAGTTGTTTATGTGATCTCAATAACATTAATACAAGTATTTATATTATCCAAAGTATAGTATGAGGAGTTGTAACCATTTGTAACTGCTTTATTTACTGTTTTATTCTTTTATGTCTGGAAAGAAAAGCTGGTTTAAACAAACTGCGGTCTGTATACCCAAGATTGGTCTAAAAGCATTTAGAAAGTTGATAAACTCAAGTGGGTTAAAGACCAAAGATAATTAGGTGGTTATGTAATGATCCTGACCGCACAAAGCAGAGTGTCAGTCTAATCCAGTCTGCAAAACCCATTAAGTCAGAGAAGATAAATTTCTTCAAATGCCATTTAGTACACAAAAAAAATTTCAAAGATTAATTATTTGTCATTTCAACTTACAAAACTTAAAAGATTTTCTCATCTACACCAAATGAAAATGAAAAAAGAAACATCAGTTCAAGAACATGACGTGCTTTGAAGACAGGTTGACTATAAGCTGTTGTTTTGGACTTGTCAGTGCACTCTAGCTTATTTTTTCTTGTCTTCACTAGCTGCTCAGTGCCTTGCAACAAGTGTTTTTTTGTCAACACAGGCAAACAGTGAGGCTCTGCTGTCACAGATTACCAATTGATTTGTAAGGAGCTGCACATTTTTACTATGGGCAG